GACTGGTGTCAGTCAGTCAGCCAGACTGTCTGTGTTAAAATTATACACCAGAGTATCACTTAATGATGTCTATGGAGATTCTCAGTCATCCAGGTTATGGTTGTCCTGAAAATGCTTTTTCAAATGACAGATGGAATTGCTTTTTCTTGAGGAAAACATCTCCCACAAAGAAAAGTCCAGTTGTTGTTTTTTTGAAAAAACATCTTTAGGATCACTTAATGAAAGAGTTATTAGCATTCAGAGAAGAAAGGCTGAAGAAAAACTCAAATGCTCTCTTGGTAGTTCTCCTAATCTCCCGTTCTTCATATCTAACTTTTCTGATGAGGCAATTAGTGAGCTCTTTCTGCTTTTTTAAAAAAAATATGAATTCAAATGGAAACAATTTGGGATTTGATCTCTGGATTATTTAAAGATAGTATGTGAACCTTAGACTGACAAATCCATACAGTTTCCCTCCATTCCACAGTATTGGAAATATATAATTTAATTTTTTTTATTAAAATAAATCTGAAATGGAATGAAAAATAAAAAGATAGGAAAATATCCTAACATAAAAAGCAAGTCCCTAGCATTTAGCATTGCCTTCCTTTTTGAGACTATAATGTGGTACCTCTTATCTTTCGTGTCAATGTGTGATAGACCTATTAATAAATACAAACCTTGTCCACTCCTTTTCTATGAGTTAATACTACTTTGAATGTACAAATGATTCTGATTTTAAAGATCAGAAATTAGATTGCAAAGGAAGTAGAGCAAAAGTTAGTTTCATGTGTAGATTGAAGTCATAAGATACAAAAAGAATGTTGGTTACATTAGGATACAGGTTAAATAACTCCCAGCAAATTTAACAGAATAAGTGAATTGGAAGGGACCTGGAAGATCTTTGAGTCAGTATATATAACCCCCCTGCTCAAAGAGGAAACCCTCTATACCATTTTAGATAAATGGTTTTATGTCATTTGATGTCAAAAGATTTAGGCACCCCTGTTCAGATTGTAGGTTACATTGAATCCTTAAATCAACGGAAAGGATGTAGCTTGTATTTGAGATGCAGTTAAGGATTATAACTTTCATCCAATGTAACTGTATTTTTATTAGGTACAAATGGACTTTGTATATGAATGGATCTAATAAAAAATTGAATCCTGATCATAACAAATGGCTCTCTTTTCCATTGTTCTGCAGCCTTGATCAGGGATTAAATTAACCCAAAATAAATATTAACTTGGTAGCATATCATCAAAACTACCATGTTTCCCCCAAAATAAGACCCTGTTTTATTTTTTTGGCACCAAAAAAGGCACCAAGTCTTATTTTCGAGGGATGTCATCCACTGACTAACCTCATTTGCTTATGTTAACCCTGGCCTCCTTTTCACTGTCAGAGACATTCAGGAACTTCTGTGGCCAGCAAGGCTTTCCTGAAGGCCTCTGCAGCCAATTACAGAGCTCCAGACAGATCCTGAGCTTTGGTATGAGCTCCAGAGGCCTTCAGGAAAGCCTTGCCATCCTTGCTGGCTGCAGAAGAAATGGGCTGGAAAGGCAGGTGTCAGGAGGTGTGAGGCCAGGCTATAACTGTCCAAAGATAAGTAGTAGGGAAGCTCCAGCCCCCGAGACTCACTCTAGCTTAAATTTTATCTGTTCACTCTGGAATGGGCGAGATCTGAATTAGGGCTTATATTGAGTACACAATAAAAATCAAGCTAGGACTTACTTTTAGGGTAGTATTTTCATATTTTCAGGGAAACAGGATAAGTATAACTCCACTCCTGAAAACACTGTACAAGGAACTGAAGTCTTGATTCTTCCTATGGGCTTTGAACATTTATGCAAGTATGTTCTGAATCAGAAACTGATAAATGCAGAAGTAGATAGGATTATGTATCTACAAATCTTTCAAAATCTTCAAAGAAATAAAAACTCAAAGCAAGCTGTAATGTGTTCTGTGAATGCATGGTCTGTTTTCTAATCCAAAAAAGGAAACACTACCCTTTGCCAGGCTATACTGGATTTTTTTATATATATTTGATTTAGGCTTAGCTTAGACATAAAACAATACAAATAAATATTTAGGGAGATGTGTATGGTTCAATACTATTGGATTTTAGTTCTAAATTTATAATCAAGGATGAAAGGAACAAGAGATTAATAATAGAATAGAATGCCAAAAGTTGTCCATGCCATCACAACTTTCTTCAGTAGTCAATTCTTAACATTTCAATGATTTGATTGACTAATTATGTGCCATCAAAATGTTTTCAACAAAGGAACTCTATAGATCAGCGTTCCAGAACTCTTCTGGTTCCATGGACTAGCAGGGACAGCAGCTGAAGTGGTAGGGTTGGGAGAAGATAGTTCTTCAAACTTTGTTTTCTTGGCCACCAAAGAATTATCAGGAGTCTCCCCTAACAGCAAAGTTCAAAAGCATCAATACTCTTTAAAATAAAAGTTTGGCTTCTGTAATGTCACTGGAAACACCATGGCAAACATGATTTGGAACTGAAAGTTTTATCTAGTTTCCAAAGGATTTTGAAATCAAGACTAGCTAATCTGTAACAGATAGTTGCAGATTTGACCATTTCATCAAACATTCCTGATTTCTACAATTAGTGCAATGTTGTAGCTTCAAACTTCCCAATTCTATTTCTCCGCTATATTCAAAACAGATTAAGCACCAGTCACTTATTATGTCACTCTAAAGAAAGAAAGTTGTTCATTACACATGTTAAGAAAACATTACCAGGTGGTTAGTGTTTCCATGCCAATTACGTCCCTTATAAATGACTACAGTCATTCTATTATTTTAGCAGACCAAAATATCAAATGTTCTGCACAGAAGGGAATAGAAATTGAGAAACAATCCATATGAATATTTCAAGAGCCACACGGAGGAAGGACGTGGTAATGCTGACTCTGTGAGATTCATTTCCAAAAAGTTCTCTTCCTTCTGTTTTATTTGCCAGAGGTTCTCCTTGAAGATAGACTCAGACACTTTTTCCATACACAGAGAACCATAAAATCGATCCTCCTGGTATTCCAGATGCACAAAGCAGTTCCTTTGAGCTTTCCTGCAAGTGATGCCTTCCCTGTTCCACATGAGTGGTTTCAACCTGGGGACCTCATCATCGGTGGGATGATGTCTCACTTGATTTACCATTTCTGTCAAACTCCATTCAACCAACATCCTTTTCTCAACCTTTATGATTCACCAATGTAAAGATTTTCCTTTGAATCATCTGACCATGCATGCATATCAAAGAAGCATTTATATGACTGTGTGTAGAGTTTTTCATGTAAATGTAAGAATTCTTTGTGTTTTGAAAGTTTTCTAGTGGTGAGAGAAGAGGGACCTATCTTTGTGTTTGTTTCATTAACATTCTTGTAAGTAAAGCATATTTCACTGCATGGAAATTATCAAAAAGAGAATGCAAAAAAAAAAAATCAGCTCTGCCACATTTCACAACACAAAATAAAGGTGCTTTTCCAAAAAAATCCAACTGAATGTTCTTGGTTTTTCTTTGAAACATTTCATTTCTCATCTACAAAACTTCTTGTTCTGTCTCAATTCTGGTTCAAATCTGGAGGTTTTTTGGATGAGAAGTGAAATGTTTCAAATAAAAAATTAAGAAACTCCAATTGCCTTTTGGAAAATATCTTTGGGACAAACATAACCAGGATGACTGAGAATCTCCATACATAAATATGGAAACAATTAAATCTATTGACATTCTGTTTTACTAAACAGGAAAGGAATGGTAAGATAGATTAAAGATGTTTTAATATTTCTATTTTTGCAGCCAAAGTGGCCACACACGTTAGATATTGACTTTGGTGGAACTAAGAATTATGAGCACTCATGGAATATCCCTTAAGAACTTAAACAATTCACATGAGCAAGATGTATGGGTTTAGAGAGAACCTCACCCTTAATCTATAGTTCCTAGAAAACTAAATCAACAAAGAAAACAACAAGCCACAGCTTTCTAGTTGAACACTGAACACTGAGGTTAAAATTTCAGAAATTAACACAATATGTCTTGTAATTATTAACTTTCTGGAAAGAAATAAAAAGAAATAAATTGTGTGCAAAGCATATTTGGCCTGATTGCAAAATAAGTATATTTAGCCTGATTATACAATTAATCAATACTTCAATCAGAAACAGGTTTTTCAGTAATCAGTTATATACTGACCCTCCTAAAACAATTTGCAAAATTATTATTATTTTGAAAAAGTGTGCTCAATCTATTTTCAGGGTAATAACCAAATTCTACCAACACATCCTTGCCTTGGCCTTTGCTGTAAAGAAGATCAATGAAGACACCCAGTTCTTACCTAACATCACTCTTGGGTTCCACATCTATGACAGTTACTATAATTCAAGGATGACCTATCGTACCACCCTGGACCTGCTTTTCAAATCCCAGGAATTTGTCCCTAACTACAGATGTGATAGCCAGAAGAATCTCATGGCCATCATTGGAGGCTTAGGTTCTGATACATCATCTAATATAGCTGAAGTTGTAGGTTTCTACAAGGTTCCACAGGTCAGTATGGAGGAGATGAGCACAAAAATTCTATACCTTGTTGTTATGACATAATTACTGAGAATCAGGTTTTAGGCTTAGATTTGTATTAAGATATTCTAGATACCTTAATCAACATTTCTAAAGCTACAGTGCCAATCATACAAATCATTATCTAGAATCATTCCATATCAGAGGAAAGATTTGAATGTAGACACCCTGCTCCTGTTCAACCAAATGAACTATTATAATGTGTTTGTAATAATTCATAGAAATTCCATACTATATTAATATTTTAAACAAAATAGAGGGAGAAAAAATCCTTCCTTGGCTATTGTTTACAGGAAAATTAGACCCAGAAAGATCAGATCTGGCGAACGACTGAACAGAATATGACTCTGCTTTCTTTTAGCTGACATATGGCTCAATAGCCCAAGAGGAGTTTCAGACCAGTAAGCAATCTTCACTTCATTTCATGGTCCCAAAAGAGGACCATCAATATGTTGGGATTATTCAACTGCTTCATCATTTTAGATGGACATGGATTGGGATATTTACTATGGATAACAATAATGGAGAACGTTTTTTACAGAAAATGCAGCCCATACTTTCACAAAATGGAATCTGTTCATCATTCATACAAAGGCTTTCACAACTAATCCACATAGAACACTATACAGAACTTTATCACATGGTCTCAAGTAGTTTCACTAATATGAGGAAGAGCAATACCACCACGTTTCTTGTCTATGGAGAATCTTTGACAATTACAGGGCTCAGAACTATCATGCTCATAGCAGATCCTGAAAACAAGCAAACTGCATTATTTGGAAATGTGTGGATCTTGACTGCACAGATTGATTTTGTGCTCTCAGGCTTTCAAATCAGTTGGGATCTCCAAATGTTCCATGGGGCTATTTCCTTCAGTGTTCATTCAAGAGCAGTTGTAGGTTTCAAGGAATTTCTTCAGACCATCAACCCTCATTCAGGCTACAAAGATGGCTTTCTGCAAGATGTTTGGGAACAATTATTTGATTGTTCACTCTCAAAATCAGAATTACAAGAAACGTCTAATAGGCAGTGCCTGGAAGAGAACAAACTGGAGGATCTTCCTACACCTGTGTTTGAAATGGATATGACTGGCCAAAGCTACAGTGTCTACAATGCTGTTTATACTGTGGCTCATGCTTTGCAAGCACTACTCATATCAGGGTTCAATAAGGAAAAAACAATGATGGGTAGAAAATCTGACCTTCCATACCTGCAGCCTTGGCAGGTATTCTCTCTGCATTGGAAAATTCTTTTATTTCAATGAGAAATTTGATCTAGAAATACTGTTTTAACCTATGGTGGGAAATCTTAATATTTTCTGCTTATAAAATCCAGTTAGGTGTGAAGATTGAGAAACTATTATATTGTTAAGTAACACAGTTATTAAGGGAACTTGGCTTCCCCATTGACTTCGCTTGTCAGAAAATGGCAAAGGTCGTAAATGTGAAAAAACAGTCTTTTTTTTCATTCCATAATAACTTTGAATGGCCACTAAAAGAACTGTTGTAAACAGAGGTCTACCTGTATTAACCTTTGAACTCTCTCTCTCTCTCTCTCTCTCTTTTTGTTCTCTTTTACATAGCTTCATCGATTTCTACATGGCATTTCTTTTAACAATTCGGCTGGAGAGAAAGTTTCCCTGAATGAAAAAGGGGAAGTAATGGGTGGATTTGATATCATCAACCTCATCACATTCCCCAATCGGTCTTTCCAAAGAGTTAGAGTCGGAATAATTGATTCGAGTTCTCCAACAGGCAAAGAATTATTCATTGATGAAGATTTGATTGTCTGGCACCCAGCGTTTAATCAGGTATGGACTCCTTTGTGGACTGTATCTTGAGCTATTACAATTCTAGCTAGAGGCCTTGATCTCTTAAGCTATACTGACCAAAGCTTCTTTAGAAATCTAACTTTTATGTTTATAAGAAAAAATGGCATATTTTGAACAAATGTGGCCCAAGATTAAGCATTCATGAAACTGACAAAATGATGTTGCAATGTAAAAGTCTGGTTTTCATATTTGATTGCAAGTGCCTTTCAAATCATTAGAACTGCATCATTTCCATAACATTTTCATGAATATTTATTTACTCACCTTGCCTTTTTCAAAGAGGCCCTTTTCATCATCATTCTAATTTCAACAACTTTTAATGTATAATATAAATACAGCTAGGTGATATACAGTATTCCTCTAGGAAGTAAAGGATTAATTCCCCCAATAAAAGAGAACAATTAATAACTCAGAAATGGAGGGATCCCAGGATAATATTGAACAATCTACTTGAATCAGTCACTGGTCAACCTTTGGTGCCAGTGACTGTCTCAGATTGGATTCTGCTAGATTAATTGTTTTTTTAAATCTCCCTTTGCAAAAAAATTTTATATTTATCATCAGGTCCTTCCCATTTCTCTGTGTAATGACCATTGCTCCCCTGGATATTGGAAGAAGGAGGCCGAAGGAAAACAATTCTGCTGCTATGACTGTGTTCCATGTCCAGAAGGGAAGATTTCAAATCAAAAGGGTAGGATAGACATTCCAGCAAGTTCTCATTAGATACACCTAAACCAATTGTAATATACTTCTTTAACATAGCAAATAGTATTGTGAGTTCTTCAAGGTGAATATTCATTTCTATACCTGTGAATAACAATCTATCATTCTAAATTCAAGTTTTTCCATAAGAGCTAAGCTCTTATATCCACCCTTATGTACTTCCTCTCCATTTTTTGGAAAAATGGGAAAAGTCAAATGTTTTAAATTTTAATAAATTTGAAACTGCCATAGAGAACTCTATTTCATAGAATAATTGCCCTTCTGATCGTGCTTCTTTAATGGTGGTCCCAGCTGATACAATGATGGAAAACTGCACTTCCCTAAAAACATGATCCAATATGCTAACCAATAGAAAAACTTGAGAGGGATAATGTTTGGCACCCATAAAGAATATTATTTTTGAAAATATGGAATATATAAAAACATGCCTTGACTTTTCTTTTAGATATGGATGACTGTTTTCAATGTTCAGAAGATCACTATTCAAATAAAGAAAAGAAAGAATGCATCCTGAAACCAATCGTATTTTTAACCTTTGAAGAAACCTTAGGAATTGGTTTAGGCACAGCAGCTCTTTGTTTCTTCTTCTTGACATCTTGTGTACTTGGAACTTTTATTAAGCACAGGGATACTCCCATTGTCAAAGCCAACAACCGGTCCCTCACTTACACCCTACTTGTCTCTCTTCAGCTCTGCTTTCTCTCCTCTTTGTTGTTCCTCAGCCAACCTGGAAAAGTGATCTGCCTTCTCCGGCAACCTACTTTTGGAATCACCTTCTCAGTGGCAATTTCTAGTGTTCTGTCCAAAACCATCACGGTGGTTGTGGCTTTCATGGCCACTAAACCAGGATCTCAGATGAGGAAATGGGTGGGGAAAAGATTGGCTGTTTCTATTGTCCTCTCATTCTCTCTCCTACAAGTTTGTCTTTGTATTCTTTGGTTGTCAACATCTCCCCCATTCCCTGAGATGGACATGCAGTCAGAGCTCCAAGAAATGGTTTTACAGTGCAATGAGGGGTCAGCTTTCTTCTTCTACTGTGTCTTGGGCTACATGGGTATCTTGGCCATCGCCAGCTTTATTGTGGCTTTCCTTGCCCGTAAATTACCTGACAGCTTTAATGAAGCCAAGTTCATCACCTTCAGCATGTTGGCCTTTTGCAGTGTGTGGATCTCCTTCTTTCCAGCCTACTTGAGCACAAAAGGAAAAGCCATGGTAGCCGTGGAGGTCTTCTCCATCTTGTCCTCCAGTGCTGCATTACTGGGATGCATATTCCTGCCAAAGTGCTACATCATTGTTTTGAGACCTGACCTCAACCACAGGGAGCAACTCATAAAGAGGAATTAGCACATCATGTGTTCTTTCTGGCCATGGGAAATGATTAACAAAAAAGAGTAGAGAATCTGCTATTTAATATTATTACATAATATTCTCATTATTTTTATTTTAGGGATCCTTATTTCTATCAAACAAGATTTTATGAAGTATTGGGATTATTATTTAAATTCATTATTTCGTATTCCAAATGAAGTGCTCATTTGCCAAATTTTCAGACATTCTACAAGTTTATTTAACCTAACCCTTTTTTGCACTGCATACATCGAGCAAACAAGAGTTTGAGCATCTAGCTCTTAGAAGATTTGTCATGTTTACTTTAACGGTGCCTAAAAGTTTGCAGCTTCCAGTTCATGGTTTTAATAGCTTCATTTCTTAAACCACTGTATAAATATGGGAAAAAGCTAAGGAATATTTTGTAGACATGCATTTAGCACATTCTCATAGGGTATCCATTTTTTATTGTTTGGTCTTCTTTGAAATGTAAAAGATGTAAAATTTTTATTTTTTACAACAAACATATAGACAAAACATAAAAACATAAAACCATCTTTCAATTATATACATACAGTGTGTTAGTTGGTTACAATCTTTTGTGCTATCCCCTTTTTTACCATTACTCACAAGTTGTATAAATTCTCACCTTGTCAATCTAACATGTGCTTATTTAGTATCAATTATTAATCATTCATTTGATTAAACTATTTTTCAATCATTGTATAGGAGATATTTTAAATTTCATTATGGTTTAATTTTATACGTTCATACAATGGTTATATATTTTATATTATATTCTATATCAATCTATTAACTTTTATTGTTGCGTTTCCTAATCTATTTCTTTAACATGTCTTTTTATCTAAAAATTGATAAAATAAATCCCATATCATATAAAATTGTTTATCTTCTTGTTCTCTAATTTCAAATGTCAATTTACTCATTTTGGCACAGTCCATGTTTTTCTTAATAATTCCTCCTGCATAGGTATTTTTTCATTTTTCCAGTTCTTAGCAAATATTATTCTAGCCATTGTTAAAACATTTATAATCAAATATTTCAAGTCTTTGCTGTATATTTCTGGTATAATTCCGAATAAAAATATCTCAGGTGTAAAGTCTATGTGTTGTTTTATCATTTTTTCCAACCATGTGTGGATTATAGTCCAATATCTTTTTGCATCCAAGCATGTCCACCACATATGGTAATATGAACAGGGTATCTGATGACATTTCCAACACTTATCCGATTTATTCTTCAACATTCTCACAATTCTCATCGGGGTTAAATGTAACCTGTAAAACATCTTATACAAATTTTTTTAGATGTAGTTGATGGTGTCATTTTATAATTTTGAGACCACAATTTTTGCCATTTATCTAAGTCAATCCCATATCCAAAATTTTCCCCTATACAATCATTGTTTCTTTTACTTGTGCTTCCTCTAATTTAAATTCCAGCAAATGTCTGTAAAGTTTTTTAATTACTTTTTCATCAGTACCTTTCAAAATTTTGTCTAAATCAGTCAACTTGTCATAGATACCTTCTGTTTTAACATCTTTATCAAATCTAGATTGTATTTGCAAATATGAAAACCAATTCATTTTTACACCTAGTTCTTTCAATGCTTGCATAGATTTAAGTTCACCATTTTCATTCAATATCTCACCATATCTGTTTGTTCCTTTTTATATATTATTGGATAGGAAAAAGCTTCAATAGTAGATAATCATAGTGGATTTTTAAAATAATATTGCTTTTTTATCTTCTCCCAGGTTAAAAACAATGCTTCTCGAATATAATGTCTTCTGAAATACCCCTGGGTTTTAGTTCCCTTATACCAGAGGAAGGCATGCCACCATAGCAGCAAGTCATGTCCTTCTAAATTCAAAAGTCTAGTATTCCTTAGTGATATCCAGTCCTTTACTCACATGAAACTCATCGCCTGGTAATATAATTCCCAATTGGGCAAAGCAAATCCTCCTCTTATTCTTGCATCTTGTAACAGTTTAAGTTTTATTCTCGCTTTCTTCCCCTGCCAAATATATTTTAGCACTATTTGTTTAGATATTCAAAAAATTCTTTTCCTAGTCTGATTGGAATTGTCTGGAATAAATATAAGATTCTAGGCAATACATTCATCTTAATTATAGATATTCTCCCAATCAATGATAACTCTAAATTTTCCCATTTTATCAGGTCTGTCGCAATCTGTTGTTTGAGTTTAAGATCATTGTCCTCCTTAAGTGTGCTACATCTTGGTGTTATGTGTATCCCTAAATACTTAACCTTATTTTTGACCTGGGTCCTCAAAACTTCCTCCAATTCTTTCTTCTATCTTGCTAACATGTTCTTTCTTAAAAACTTTGTTTTATCTTTATTTTCAAACCTGCTACTTTCCCACACTCTTTTATCTTTTCTGTCAGTTTAGGTTCTGACTCCAATGGATCCTCTAATATGAATACCAGATCATTGGCAAAAGCCTGCCATGTATACTCTTCTTTTTTAATTTTCATTCCTTTTATTTCTTTTTTCTTCTCTGATGTTCCTATTCAGCACTTCCAGTGTTAACACAAACAACAGAGGCGACAGTGGACAGCCTTGTCTAGTCCCTTTTCTTATATCTATAACAAACTCTCCATTTATCATAACCTTTGCAGTTTGTTTACAATATATATTTTTTATGGCTTGAGTAAATTTTTTACCAAAGCCCGTTTGGTCCAACTGTAGCAGCATAAAATGCCAATTCACATTATCAAAAGCTTTTTGTGAATCTAAAAACATCAAAGCCATTTGCTTTTCGGGATGTGCCTCAAAGTATTCCAGTGTGTCTAAAATTATTCTCATATTGTCTTTAATTTGTCTCTTCAGCAGAAATCCATTTTGATCAGAATGAATAAAATTATTTAAGTATCTTTCTGCTAGAATTGAAGCAAAAATTTTATAATCTGAGTTTAATAGGGATATAGGTCTGTAATTTTTAACTTGCTATGGGTCTGTGTCCTCCTTCAGTACAAGTGTAATATATGCTTTTGACCATGTTTTGGGTATTCTCTTCCTTGTCATAACTTTATTCATAACTTCTAATAATTGAAGATTCAATGTTTCCTGAAATGTCTTACAAAATTCCACTGGCAAACCATCCAGACCTGGTGTTTTCCCAATATTTTGCTTCTTTAAAGCTTCTGTTACTTCCATCATCGTTATGTTACTTTCTAACATTATTTCAATATCTTTGGGTATCTGTGGAAGATTTTCTTCCTGTGGATATTGTTGAATTCTTTCTTCCTGAACATTCTCTTGAAGGTACAATTTTCCATAATACTCTTGAATAATTTTTTTCTTCTCCACCTTTCCATAGCAGATGTCCCTGTTCGTTTATCAATTGATCCTTCTCGAAGCTCTTTCCTTTCTCAATTTATATGCTAGCCATCTGCCTGGTTTATTTGCATCTTCAAAATAGTTCTGCTTAACATTTTTAATGTGTTGTGGTATTTCCTCTTTTTCCATTTGCCCCATGTTATGTTTAGTTATGTCCATTTTAATTTTAATGTTCTTTTTTTGTGGAAATTTCTGTAGTTCTTTTTCCAACCTCTTGTCACCATCTTCCAATATTTTAAAGATTTTTTCTGTTTTATATTTCTTTTCTTTGTATAGTCCATTATCAAGCCTCTTGTATAAGACTTCATTGTTTCCCAGAGGTTCTGTAATGATGTATCCTCTTTTATATTTTCTTTAAAGAAACAAGTCAATTCTCTCTCAATTTTCTGTTTAAAGTATTTTTCCTTTAATATCGTATTATTTAAAATCCATCTAGATCTCCTTTTTTGTCCTTTCCATACAAGTGTTATTGGATTGTGATCTGCTCAGGTACTTCCTTTTATTTCTATGTCTTGTGTGTTTGTGATCAATTCTGTTGACATCCATATCATATCATATCTTAGCATATCATATCATATCATATCATATCATATCATATCATATCATATCATATCATATCTATTCTGGACCATGATGCATGTCTGTTTGAATAAAAATTATATTGTTTATTTTCTGCATTTCTCTCTCTCCATGCATCTTTTAGGTTTATCTCATCTACCATTCGAAAGAAGGATTTTGGCAATGTCTTTCTAGCTTTCTTTGCTGTTTTTGTGTTTTATAATCCAATTTGTCATGTATTATTCCATTAAATCTCCCATCAGACAAATATTAGCATAGTCCAGTACAATTATTTTCTTATATAATTTCTTGTAAAAATCTTCTTGATTATCATTTGGAGCATAGATTGTTATTCAAAGTATCTTTAGATTATTGTCTGTTATCGCCACCATCAAAATCCTTCCATCATCAGCTGTATATATTTGTTTCATGGGGATTGTGTTTCTAAGGTATAACACCACTCCTCTCTTTTTACACTGTGTCAACGCTGTAAATAATTTCCCTAATTTTTGTTGTTTCAATATATGGTCATGTTGTTTTTTTAATATGTACTTCTTGTAGGCAGATTATATCAAATTTTAATTTCCCAACTTATGAAATATTTTCCTTCTTTGAGTAGCTGAATTAAGTCAATTTATATTAATTGTAATCGGTTTTCTCTCATCCATTTTAAACTTTATAAGAAGGATGTATTGCTCTAGTAGATCTTGGTTTTCATTGCTCTCTGGGTACACCACCTACAGTCCCTTCTTCTTTTTTAATTACTGCTATACATTCCTCTTGGAATTCAATTAACGACTATTCTTTTCTTATATCTTCCTCCTTTCCTCTGAAGTATTCCAGATAGAATAACTCAGCTTTTTCAACTTTATCAATTCTGTGTCTTTGTTCCTGCCAGGTAAACATAGGCCTTCTGGTATCAGCCATCTGTAATTTATTCCTCTCTTAAGTAACTCTTTAGTCAAAAATAAAGATTCTCTTCTTATCTCTCTCACTCTTCTGGGTACCTGTTTCGGTACCACTATTTTTTACCTTTATACTTTAGTGTTTTCTCTCTTGCTGTTTGCAGTATTTGT